CCCCTGCCTCCTCCCCCCCTCCTCCCCCCTTCCTCCCCTCTTCCCCCCCGTCCTCCTGCTGCTCCCTCCTCGGCCGCCCTTCTCCTTCCTCCTGTTCCTCCCTCCTCTCCCCCTCCCCCTCCTATTCCTCCCTCCCTCCTCCTCCCTCTCCAACCCTCCCTCCCTCCTCTCTTCCTCCCTCCTCCCTCCCTCTCTCCCTCCTCTCCCTCCCTCCCTCCTCTCTCCCTCCCTCCTCCCTCTCCCTCTCCCTCTCTCCCTCCCTCCTCCTCCTACCTCCTCCGCCTACCATCTCCTCCTCCCTCATCCCTCCTCCTCCTCCTCTCCTCCTCTCCTCCTCCCTCTCCTAATTCCATCTCCCTGCTCCCTTCTACTTCTCCCCCTCCCCCCCCCTCCCACTCCTCCTCCTCCTCCTCTCCTCCTCCTCCTACTCACTCCTCCTCCTCATCCTCCTCCTCCTCCTCCTCCTCCTCCTCCTCCTCCCCCGTGCCTCGCTCTGCCTCTTCCCCCTCCGCCCTCTCCCTCCCTCCCCGCCCTCCTTTCCTCGGCCTGCCTCCCCGCGCCCCAGCCCTGGGAGCGCCTGTGGTGCCGGCCATCGAGGCGAGCACCCCCAGGAAGGCACCCACGTACCAGAGGTTCGCCATCGGGCGCCTCCAGGGGGGGAGGGGAGGTCCGAGGACCGAGGGAGGTTCGAGGGTCGAAGCAGGGAGGGGGGTGAGGAGGCTCGAGGATGGGACCGATGATGAGGAAGGGGGAGGTGGGGAGAGTGAGGGGGGGAGAAGGAGGGAGGATGGAGAGAGGGAGGGGGGTGGAGGAGTGAGGGAGGAGGGAAACAGAGAGGAAGGAAGGGGGAGGAGGGACGCAGGGAAGGAGGTGAGAAGGAGGAATGACAAGGAGGGACGGGGGAGAGGGAGGGGAAGATCAATGATTTAGTTATATCGTCAGGACCCAGAACCGTCCAGAAGCATCCATGTGGATAGGTGCACTGGTATGTTCAGGAGACGATGATCACATGTTGTTGCACGTTTTTCAAGCTTCCACGGGCTGGTCGGCGCTCAATACGAACAGAAATCACGATGGTTTCGAAAATGATCGAAACGGCGACGCCCGGCTTGGAGGGTTTGTCCCCCCTATCGAGGTTTGTGATAGGAATCCAGGGCGGGCGCAGACGTAGACATAGCTCTACATATATATATATATGTGTATATATAAATATACACATACACGTGTGCACATACGTATATGTACATATACGTATAAATATACATACAGCGGGGCCTAGGCCAGAGAAACATCCTTCAAGAACATGAGACCCTCCACCGGCCAAACCACACAGAACATCCAAGGGTACCACCCCCAGGATGCACAAGAACATCCAACAAGCACGAAGAACATGTGAATACCCTCCCCGAACCAACCTCGATCTTATACCTCGGTCCGACTGTACACGTCTAGAGATAATCTGAGCGTGAAGATGGGCATGTGGCGGGCGAAACTGAGGGAAGGGAGGGAGAAACAAAAAAGGAGAGGAAAAGGGACAACACAGCACACTCAGGAGCAAAAACGAGGAGAATATGGATATGAGGAGTGGGGAAGACGAACGCCTGCATCTCCGCCACCGTGCCCCGAGGCACGATTTGGAATGTCATCGGGTCCCTTCGTGTCCTCCGTTCTCTGTCCAGAAGGCTCTTCCAGAAGCCCACAGCTGCCCAGAGTTCCGGGCGCTCCCGGGCGCTCCTGGATCTTCCCGCACGACTCGTTCGGAGCCAAGAAGGCCCCAACTCGGGCCAAGAGGGCCCTGGTAGCCCCCCAGGACGGTCCAAGAGGTATAAGACTCGGCCCAAGAGCGCTCCAAGACGCCCAGTATGGCCTCTAGACGGGGGCCGCGAAGCTGCCACAAGAAAGTGCCAAGACTCCTCTCAAGAGAGCCTCGCGAGGCCCAAGCCATTGATTGTAGCGTTTTTAGCGTTCTCGTTTTTTCGAACTTCCAACCGCCCAGTACAGCCCAAGAGGCCTCCCAAATCGCCCCAAGACGGCCCAGGAGGGCACCAAAAAAGCCCCAAGACGGCCTGATGGGCCAGGAGGCCCCCAATACGGCCCAAGAGGCCTCCAAGCGGGACCCGAGGGAGAAGAGACGGCACCCCGGCGTCAAAATAGCTCCAAAGACCGCCAAGAAGCCCCCAACAGGCCGGCCTCAAGGGCCCCCCAAGAGGCGCCCAACAGGCCCAAAGAGGCTCCCAAGAGTTATCCAGGATAGTGGCACCCCATTAGGCCCCCAAGAAAGCCTCTGACGCAGAACCCATGTACGAGGGATCGACGCCCGCTTGGATCGATATGACCCATCCACTTGAGTCATATAGCTTGCATTCAAGAGGGAAGCGTCTCATGAAGCGTTCTGAAAGGGGCATCCCAAAAAACCTCGACATGCATTCAAGACACCTCTGACCCGCTACTTCGGCACGGTGGCGGGATTGGCCAAAGACCACTAGATCCGCCGCCCCCTGCTTGCAGGGGTGCACGGCGTGCTGGACGTTTCAGGTTTTGGTTTTGGTTCTTTTTCTAAAAGAACTCTCCAGTGGGCTCCGGCCCGTCCCGCCACCGTGCCCAAAAACGGCCGTTTCGCTCGGGACATCCTCAACAAATCGCGAAGGTGGCCCAAGATGGCCTCCAAGTCCGCCCGAGATGGTCCAAGACGGCCTCCAAAACGGCCCAAGAGAGTCCAAGACGGCCCAAGACGGCCCAAGAGGCCCCCCAGAGGCCTCCCAGACGGCCCAAGAGGCCTCCAAGAGGTCCTCCAGGAGAGTCCGAAGAGGGCAAAATCATTGATTTTCCCTTGGTTTTTGAAGGATTTTGGCATTTGCGCCTTTTCGGCTCTCCGACGGCTCAAGACGGCCCAAGAAGCCCCCAAGATCGCCCAAGAGGCCCCCAAGAGAGCCCCCTGATGGCCCAAGTGGCCTCCAAGATGGCCCCTAGAGGGCCCCAAGACGGCCCAAGAGGCCTCCAACACGCCCAAGATGGCCTCCAAGACGCCCAAGATGGCCTCCAAGACGGCCCTGGAGCGCCCCAAGAGGGTCCCCCGTTGGCCCAGAAAGGCCCCCAAACGGCTCCCGACGGCGTCAGACGTGCCAGGAACCCACCAAGATGGCCGAAGTTGGCTCGAAGCTGGCCCAAAAGGGCCCAAGAGGCCCCCAAGAGGGCCTCCAGGAAGGCCAAAAGATGCCAAAATCACTGATTTTCCCAAGGTTTTTGATGGATTTGGGCATTTCCCTTTTTTCGGCCTTCCGACGGCCCGAGACGGCCCAAGAGCCCCCAAAGATCGCCGAAAGATCGCCCAAGAGGCCTCCAAGACGGCGACGATGACCATCAAGACGCCCACGTGTTCCCCGAAGGCTTTCCAAACCGATTCGGGGAACACATGGTCCGATGGCTTGGCAGGTCTGGCCTCAACGTTCGGCCACATAGGCGCTTCCACAAAGGCAGGGGGCGGCGGTGATTCGCCGTAGGCGTCTTCGATCCGCCGCCCCCTGTCGATTCATCGCAGGGGTGCCTGGCGTGCTAAACCCTCTCGGTTTGGGTTTTGGCTCTTTTCCAAAAGAACTCCCCCTGGGGCTTCGGTCCGTCCCGCCGGGGTCCTGAGAGGATTGCCACGGCTCAGGATTTCCCTAATTTTTCTCCAAGATGGCCATGTTGGCCCAAGATGGCCTCCAAGACTGTCCAAGATAGCCTCCAAGTCCGCCCAAGAGAGGAAGAGATGGCTCCAAGTCCGCCCAAGAAACCTCCAAGACGGCCCAAGAGGTGCCCAAGAGGTCTCCAAGACGGCCCAAGAGGCCTCCGAGAGGTCCTCCAGGAGGGCCCGAAGAGGCTAAACTAATTGATTTTCCTTAGGTCATTAAACGGTTTTTCGTATTTGCTCCTTTTCGGCTTCCCGACGACCCAAGACGGCCCAAGAGGCTCCCAAGAGCGCCCCCAGAGCGCCCAAGAGGCCTCCAAGATGGCCTCAGGACTGCCCAAGAGGCCCCCAAGACGGCCCCAAGAGGGCACAAAGACGACCCAAGAGGCCTCCAATACGCCCAAGATGGCTTCTAAGACGGCCCTGGAGCACCCTAAGAGGGCCCCAAGTCGGCCCAGAGAGGCCCTCCCAAACGGCTTCCGACGGCGTCAGACGGGCCAGCAGCCCATTAAGACGGCCGAAGATGGCCCTGAGATGGCCCAAGACGGCCCAAGAGGCCTCCAAGAGGGCCTCCAGGACGGCCTGAAAATGCCAAAATCATTGATTTCCCATGAGTGTTTGAAGGATTGTGGCATTTGTTTTTTTCCGCCTTCCGCCAAATATCGCCCAAGAGGCCCAAGACGGCCCCAAGGGGCCCCCAAGACGGCCCACGAGGCCTCCAAGACGCTCAAGATGGCATCCAAGCCGGCCCAATAGCCCTCCAAAACGTCCTCCAAGAAGGTCCGAAAGGGTCAGAATGGCCTCCAGAGGGCCAAGATGACCTTCAAGATGCCCACGTGTTCCCCGAAGGCTTTCCAAATCGATTCGGGGAATACATGGTCCGATAGTTTGGCAGGTCTGGCCTCAACGTTCGGCCACATAGGCGCTTCCGAAAAGGCAGGGGGCGGCGGTGATTCGCCGTGGGCGCCTTCGATGAATAACTAGATGGATGTAAACTTTTGGGCTGATCGCAGGCGGGTATCACCCACAACTCAGCCTGGCAGCCTGACGCGCCTTGGCGCGGGGGGCATACCGAATGACGCGCTGAATCTGCCGAATCCGCCGACCTCCGCTGAAAAGGCGTGCGAGACAATGGACGATCCCCTCCCCTTCCCCCCTTCCCCCAAGATCAAGACACCCGTTCCATCGGGGAGGCGGGCGGGAAAAGGTCGACGCACTCCCTGGCGCACCTCTCAGTGTCTCCTGAGGCTCAAACAGGACCTCCACGGGCCTGTCAGGAGGCCCCAAGCGCTGGTCTGCACACTCTGGACGTGCATCCCGTAAAGCGAGAGGAACCACAGCTTCACCTCAAGCTTAGCCTCTTAGCCTCTTAGCCTCCACCTCTGCGCCTCGGCCGATAACCCGCCCGCTGACTTCTCAGCCTCTGCGGCCTCCGCCGCAGCCCTCATGGCCCGCTCTGCGGCCGATGCTGCTGTTTTAGCCGCCGCCTCTGCTGCAGCCGCTCTCTGCACAGCCACGTCCTCCAATGCTGCCTTCTCAGCCGCCGCCCGCGCTGCCGCAATCCTGTCTGCCGCTGCTGCCTGGACTGCCGCTTCGGCCTCCGCCTCCCCCCTCGCTGCCCTCTCGACCGCCAGCTGCTCCTCCGCGACCGCCCCCTCCGCAGCAGCCCTCTCCGCCGCAGCCTTCCTCGCAGCTTCGTCGGCCTTCGCCGCCTTCCTCGCCGCGACCCTTCTCGCTGCCGCCTTCTCCACCGCCACCCTGGCCGCCACCGCCTTCGCCTCCTCCGCCGCCAGGGCCGCGGCCTCCGCCTCGCTGGCTCGCCTCGCCGCGCGCTCGGCCGCCAGAGACCTCTCCGGCGCCGACCTCGCCGCGGCGCCGCTGCCTACAAGCTTTGAGGCCATGTCCGCAAACCGAGATCCGTCCGTCACCACCTCTGCCGCTGCCAGCTTCTCGGCCGCCATCTTCTTCGAGGCGGCGCTGTCTGCCACCGACCTCGCCTGGGCTGCCTTCCTCGCTGCCTCGTCCGCCACAGAGACCTTCTCGGCCGCTACCTTGTCCGCCTCCGCCTTCTCACTGGCTGCCCTGGCGGATGCAGATCTCTCTGCCGCCGCCTCCTCTGCCGCCGCCTCCGCCTCCTTCGCTTTCTGTGCTGCCATTTCTGCTGCAGCGTCTCTCCTCGCTGCTGCCTCACTTGTTACCGCCTTCGCCGCCGTGGCTTCTCTTGTCGCTTTGTCCTCCGCTGCCGCCTTCTCCAAGGCCACCACCTCTGCCGACGCCTTCTCTAGTGATGCCTCTCTTGCGGCCGCCATCTCAGCCACTGCCCTCTCTGCGGCGTTTTCCGCTGCCGCCTTGAAGCCAGCTGCCACTTTCTCTGCGGCTTGCTTCTCTGCTGCCGCCTTCTCCATTGCCACCACGACCCTCTGAAACGCCCTTTCTGTAGTCACCTCGAAAGACTCCTTCATCAGCTCAGGCCTCAAAGTCAGCCCAACGCTGCCGAAGAGAAGACCTGCGCCAGCCACTGAGACCGCGGCAGCCCCAGCCACGGTCCAATCATCATCAATAGCTTCGTCCACACGGCGGAATCCGCTGGCCCGCTTGCGGGAGCGCAGGACCGTGAAATTCAAGGCCGGATTGCTTTCTTGCTTTTCTCTTGTCACGGAGCCAGAAGTAGCCACCTCGGGGCAACCCCGCCAGCACCTTCGGCGCGGGTGGTATAACGAGTTCCTGCCTTCCCCCCTTCCAAAGCGCCTTCTTCTCCTATTCGGGGAGGTGCTTGCCCCCTCCCCCTGCCCCTTTCCCAGGGGGCTGGACGGGGCGGGACAGAGGGGCTAGGGCGTCTAAGACCGCCTAAGGTGGCTTCAAGAGGCCCCTGATGGCCTCCAAAAAGGCTCCAAATACCCGAAGATGGTTTCAGATGGCTTCCGTTATACCTCCGAGGGGCCGCAGGATGGCTACGAGACAGCCCCAAGAGCCCCCAAAGGAACTTCACAAGAGTCCCACATCGCTCCCAAACTTAGGAAAATCAATGTTTGTCTTCTCGCCTCTACGCTTCCGATGGGCCTCTGAGGCCTCAAGATGGCCCCATGATGGATGGACCTTGCGAGCCTCAAGAGGGACCCCCAGAGGCAATTGTACGGCCTCTGGGGGGGGGAGGCCTTAACTGACGCCGCCCCAATTTTTGATCGGTGGCATCGAAAATGGTCCCAAGAGGCCCTCCTGAGCCCCCAAGAGGGCCCGAACAAAGCCCGAAGAGAGTCCAAAAGGCATCCCAAATGGCCCGATTATGGATCCAAGATGCATCCCGAAGTCTCTAACTTCGCCATCGTTGGCATCCCTGCTTCGCTATATGTTTATCTACGCCCCTCCTTTCCTGGGCAGCGTCTCGGGACGGGCTTGTACGAAGCGAAGCGAAGCAAAGCGCCAGAGTCGTGCGCGCTTCACTGGGGAGCCCGCCCGTGACCAATAGGGCATGGCGTAGAGGCCGTGGCCCCTGAAGCGTGAGGATACGCGATGCGTCAAGAGTCATTCCTGCCCGCATGCCCGCCTCAAAGCACCTCAGAATTCCCGTCGGGACGCAGCGCAGGCCGGATACCGGATTTGGTCGTCAAAGCCAAAGACAACCCAAGGTGGCCTTTAGACGTCCTTATCTTATAGAGCGCTGCGTCCACGGAGACTCAAAGGTACAAAAATCCGTTGTTGTTAAGCAATCATAGCCCAAATCACCAATGAATGTCTAACGAAAGCCCAACTTGCCCGCAAGACATGCCCCAATCTTGCCTATAACGGAAAGGTGCCGCCCTCCGGAAACCAGTCTATGTTCTCAAAGAGCTCTAACACGGCCTAACAATTGTCGTGCGAAAGCCGCAAGATGGTTCCAGGAAGGCCCAGCATGGGGGTGCTACGGCAGAGGTCAACGCATTTCAAATATATTGCCCACGCGCGCGTAGAAAACTCCAACTATGATGGCTGAGATGCCAATGACTCCCGTAACCGGGAGTGCTATTGTACTACCAAACACGGCCCATGTCCTGACAAGTGTAGCAAGCAAAATCGTAATGACTCCCAAGTCGAATGCAAAACGCGCAGTGCCGAACTCGATACAGTACTGGGTTGCAAGTCGCCCCAGAGCCGAATCGCGTGGGTCTTGCTTCTCGTCAGTACCGTAGACGTTGGACCCATACGAACCATCGCTCAGTCGGTACATCAGCAACTGTGAGACAACAACACAAATAAGCATGAGAACAAGCGTTAGGACATCAAGCACCACAAACGCCTGCAGCAGGTCGGAGTCTGGAGTTGGGCGCGAGGTAGACAGAGAAGACGACGAGCTCGTGATCCTGAATTCCGAGATGGTCAGAGAGCCCGGCAAACTGAGGGCTCCAAATGCAAACGCGGCAAACAGACCAGCGCTGGACTTGAGCTCGGAGACAACGTACATTGCGCGCTCTGGGCCTGTCGGGTACCCATCTTCCGTGCCCATCGCCTCGCGCAATAGCAGATTTCCTCGAGAAGAAGCCGATGAGACTTGCCTTGAGGCGTGAGTACACCGACAGGGCGGAACCCTGCTTCCGAAAAACCGGCGCCGCACCGAGGCGCCTCTGCTGACACAGGGCCCCGCAAACGAGGCCTTTAATGATCCGGGCTCCTGGGCGCACCTGGAAGACTGCAGCCGTGAGTCGAACCGTCCTCCGCTCTTTCGTCCTCTCCCGCTGGATCTGGCAACAAGAAACCTGGTTTGCGGGGCCCTGAATAAAGCGAGAGCCGCAGCGGCCGGCTGCGAGCGCCAGAGAGCTGCATAAGAACAATAACCGTTGAGCTTTAGCTGGACCTCGAAGTGCACAGGGAGCAAGCGCAGTCTGTCTGCAGTCGTGTGCAGCTATGCCCAGTGTGCCGCAACACGCAGTCTGCCTCAAATCTTGCTTGCTTGAACAAATACCCTTATGATGTATGACAGGCCTCATTTACACTGGAAAGTCAGTCGGCATCAATAAGGAACTGAGCCCAAGTAGCTCGAGCCAAATCGGGCGCGGACTTCAATTGATATGCGTGCGATGTTTGGTCTGGTTGCTGTGGTGGTGCTCGCTTGTTTGGGGACTCAAGCAGGGGACCTGGTAGACTCACGCATGAAAAGACATGACTGGACGGCACAACCGCGGGGGTGGGAGTCTCTTCGGGCGACATCACGGCCATTCCTGATGACACGACGTGAGGCTTCTTCAAACTCTGATCCTCGAGCCAAGGCTGGGATGCGCGCGCGAGCTCTTCCGAGGACCCGCCCCGGTCGTGCACCGAACAGGTTGCGTGGCAGGCAGCGCGTGGCGCGTTGCAGGTGCGAGATGAAGACTCACAGCACCGGTTGTCTCCACAGGAGCTCCAGTGACTGGCAGCGTGCTGCGGCTGCAGGGCTACCCGTTCGGATGCCGCGCGAGGGGGAGCCGAACTCGTGGGCGGACACCGACCTGGAGGAGACGTAACCCTGCATTAGCCACTTGCTGACACGACTATCGCAAGGTGGCGACGCGCGTCCTCGAGGACCAGGTTCACGTCCTCTTGAAGCCTCAGGCCTCGCCCACGCGCGGCCAGTTCGAGCGCTCGCTCACTCTGCTGGAAAGGCAGCAGCTGCGAAGGACAGAAGAGACCGCGCGATTGGCCGAGAGAGCCGAGGAGAGAGAGAGAGAGAGAGGGCGGCCGTGACCGTGGAGGACGAGGCCTCGAGGCGGTGGCGAGACTCGGCCACGGCCGAGGAGGCGGCGACAAGCAAGCGCGGGAGACCGCGGCGATGTTCTGGGAGGACACCGCCTCCCCGACGGAGCCCGGCGCAGGAGACCTCCACGGGCGAGGGCGCCCCCCCCGGCGTCTGACGGGGAAGGGGGAGTGCGGGCCGTGGCAGCTGCCGCGGAGGTCCCCGTGAGGAGGTCCCCGGGGCTGACGGCGACGGTGGCGCTCATGCTGACGGCGACGACGAAGGACGAGCAATCGGACGATGAGATGTTCTGCAGGGCGGGCCGCTCGTCCTCGGAGCCCGACGGCGGCAGTTCCAGCAGCAGGTCCAGCTCAGAGCATGAAGGTTCTGGCGACAGCGGCGATCCAGGCGTCATGAAGGATGACCACCACCAGGTCCAGGCGCAGAAGAAGTCGAACTTGGGGCGGTGCTCCCGTTCCATCGCCGCAGAGGGCAGATGGCGTCGGAGAGTCCAGAGACGCAGCAGTCGCCGCTGGCGATCTGGTGGCATCGGACCCCCGGCGATGAAGATCCCGCCAACGAGGACGGCGGCGGCGAGAGCCAGGACGGCGGAGACGACGATGGCGTTGACGACTTCAGCGACGTGGGCGACGACTCAGACTTGTTCCACGTGGAGGCGAAGGTCGAGCTGCGTACGGACGAGGATCGGGAGATGACCATCGATAACTCCACTGTCCCCCACCTTCGGGATCGTCCACTGCTGGCGCCCGATGGCACAGACTCGGATGAGGGTGTTCGGGGATGCAGCGACGGACAGATGGCGCACTGAGGTGCAGAGCGGCTGTCAGATGCCCAAAATACACTGAGGTTTCAAAGTGTGTGGTTGGACATGCGACGCCCCGATCACGCGACACTGGGAAATGAAACGACGGTTCTGCGTGCACTTGAGAGAGAAGCACCAAGACCACGAGATGTCGTATCCGAAGGAGGCATGACCTCTACAAATGCGCAGTCCTGGACTCGGGGCACCCGTGCGACTGGCCTAAGCTTGATCATGTATGATCTGGCACTTTTATTTGCTGCTCCCTGAAGCCCTTTTGGGTCCTGAGGACTCGGCATTATCACGGATGATGTGTTCTTCAACGTCGACGTGGCGTTCCCAAACTTGGTGTTCCCTGGAGGGTTGGTGCCAACCATCCGGGGAACAGATGGGCCACAGACTTAATGGACCCAAAAGAGGGTCCCGCTGCAAAGGGGCGGTGCATAGATTGGGGGCCATTGTATTGCAGATGTATTGCGCTGGAGAAATTTGTTGCACTGTACTGCAACGAATGCATTGCACGCGACAATTCCAACAAGACACTTTCGCACTGGAATGTGTTGCACGCCCCAATCCTATTGCAACCCCGCAAATCTATTGCACCAAATCTATTGCACAACCCTCTGTTCGCTGACCCCCTTTTGGGCCAACCAGAACAGAGTGGGAGTGCACAGGCTCCAGGCGTGTCCTGGGCACATGGGTTAGGGGGATCAGGTCGTTCACGGAGGTCCCTGCCAAGGAGCAGAGGGTCCCAGTAGCAGCGCATCCAGGATAACGGTCTGGATGCCGAAGGCGTACTTCAACCAAGCAACCGCGCGGCGCAAACAGGAAGATCTGCCTTGCATTTTGGGTCTCTGTTGGCCGACGTCAGAAGAAGCAGGCGACCGAGGATCATGGACCGAGGCGGTGCACAGCGACAATATCAAGCGCTTGACGTGCCTCAGCTGCTCTCAGATACAGCAAGACCTCGACCACAAGAAACCTTCCACAAGAAACCCAACCCTGAGACCCCAGGACGTCGATTGATTTCTGGTGTGGGAGCGTCACGCTTTCCACAGCGAAACCATCGAAACCCAGGGCACCCTGTAGGCAAGCAGGGTGTTTCTTGGCATGGGCTTCCACCATGCGCACTGACGTGAGGGATTGGAAGCGCGCATGCGACGAATGGGACGAGGAACGAGGCGAGAGATGAGAATCGAAACCGACACGCACCAGCGTTCGGGGCCCTGTGGTCCGATGCGACGATTTGTTGATCTGTTGGGCTAGAGCGGCACCTTGCCAGTCGGCGCTGCTCCTCTGGATTCCCACTGCGAAGCCGCTGCCTCGTGTCGTCGCCCTTCCCGTCGCATGGTGCCCGGTTGAACCGCCGGGGATGGGCTGGGAAACGGAGGCGGGAACACTGCCCCCCCTCTCTCGGGCCAGGCGAAAGGGGGGGATAACGGAGGGGGGGGGTCCCGGCGCCTCCCGGCGCCGGAGGCGGCCATGTATCGAGGAATGGGCCCCTCTCCTCTCCCAATCCCCCCCCTTTCGTCCGGCCCCCCTCTCCCCAGCCCTCCCCTCCCCCGGCCGCCCCCCGCGCCCGGGCCCGAGGCCCCGTCGCCCGGCGGGCGGGCGCGGCCCCGCCCCCTCACAGAGGCCCAACCAAAGACCTCCCTGGCGGAGAGGTCCCGGGCAGTCCCCCGTGGAGGAGCTCTGCTTGTCGGGGTGTCCCGACGCAGTCCTCCAGCGGGCCCTCGAGAGGATGCTCTCAGAGGGCTGCCCGCCGCGGGGCGGGGCGGCGGCTGTTGTTGGTGGTGTTGTTGTTGCTGACGTATTCGAGCGGACCGTCTTAAACTGATGATTGTTGTTGTTGGTGGTGCTGTTGTTGCTGTTGTTGCTGTTGCTGTTGTTGTTCCCCTTTTCAGAGCTTGCCTCTGTAGGGGTCCTAGCAGATTCATATAATTAGGGAGGTACGGCGCCGATTTCGGCGGCACGCCGGGGTGCCCGGGTGCCCGGTAGCCCTATAGTCTTATAGCCTTATAGCCCTATAACCCTATAGCCCTAATAGCCCTATGGCCCTATAGCCTCATAGCCCTATAGCCTTATGCCCCTATAGCCCTATAACCCTATAGCCCCATAGCCTTATAGCCCTATAGCCCTATAGCCCTATAGCCCCGTAGCCCTATAGCCCTAAAAAGATTATGATTGGGGGTTTCTCTCGGGTATCATCTTTGTTTTCGCCAAGGTCAACAACGGTTTGAGCAGGAAAACCTTTCCAGACAAAAAACAACATGGGAGCCTCGGGGGGCTACTCCAATTGAAAAATCAATGCGCCTGTACGTGGGGGCTCAAAACAATATTCTTGAAATTGGGCAATGCAGCGACAACGACTTCGACTTCGACGACGAAGATAATGACGTCGGCGTCGACGCTGACTAAGACGACGTTGACGTTGACGAGGATGATAGCGATGTCCACGACGCCGACGACGCGCCTGCGGGTTTTGCCGCGAGGGGGCTGTCAGGACATCCGGCGCGCCTTGGGAGCCCGCGCCCCTTGAGCTGGCAGCGGCCGCGCGCGGGCCAGGGGGGAGAGGCACGTCGTCGTCGTCGCCGTCGCCGTCGCCGTCGCAGTCGCCGTCGCCGTCGTCGCCGTCGCCGTCGCCGTCGCCGTCGCCGTCGCCGTCGCCATCGCCGTCGCCGTCGTCATCGCCGTCGTCGTCGTCGTCGTCATCGTCGTCGTCGTCGGTGGTCCGTCGTCGGTGCGTCGTTGTCGGTCAGCCGTCGTCGTCGTCGGTCCCCCTCCACGCACCACCCCGCCTTTCGGCCCGGACCAGCCCTCTCCCCTTTCCTTCTCACGCGCCGAACCTGCGCCCTGGCCGACACGTGCTTCTAGGCTGCTGCGGGCCGCTGTACGCATGCTCCGGCGGAGCTGTCAGTCTCCAGCGAAAATCTGGAGGCGGAGAAGGAAGGGAGACCGCCACGACACAGCACCTCCGTAAAGCAGTCCTGGTGACATGTGTAGCCGCACATGGCAACGTCGCGGGCAGAAGGAAAGAGGAGGGGAGGGAGAAGTTCCACCAGACCCTTAGATGCTCATTCTGGGGACCTTCCTGCAGCCACTCGCTCCACTCGTGCGTCGAAGCTGCGTCGAACCTGAGTCGAACCTGAGTCGAACATGATTCGAACCTGAGTCGAATCTGAGTCGAACCTGAGTCGAACCTGAGTCGAAGTTGAGTCGAACCTGAGTCGAACAGATCCATTAGGTGGCCCCCAGGAAGGTCCCCAAAACGAGCATCGAAAGACCCTGTCTGGAACGTATCTGACAGCTCGTGTACCAGGTCGGCTTGCGCATAGCCCACTGCGCACAGCTCACAATCTTCATGGCTGGAAAGAAAATCTGGTGGAGGAAAATCTGGAGGTCTAGCGATCTACTCCCCGCAGCGCCCTCCGAAGGGCCGCCTACGCTTGCCGCCCCACGCAGTCCACCTCCGCACGCTTGTGGAAGAATTTGGGGTCTTTGCAGGGCATCTGCCCCCCCCCCGCACCTGTCGCCCTTAAGAACAGCAACAGGTAAAACGAGCGTAGATCGTGCATGCAACGTTCGACCCGTGCGACATCTGCACTCCTCTCTTCAGCTCGCTGGGGGCCCTCCCCTACGCGTGCAAAAAAAAAAAAAGCCTGCCAGAACCTCAAGAGAAACAGTCCCGCGCGTTGTCGTTCGCGAGTACCGTCGGCATGTACATTACCGAAAGGGTGCGTGCCTTTGGTCAAGGGCGCCATTGGCTGCGCCTCGTTTTGGGAAGAGCGCCCCCCCCCCGAAGCAGCCCCTCCAGTCCTGTTCTCGTGTGCTGCAGGGGACCACCCAGGGGACCACCCAAAGGCCTCACCAGCACAGGGGCACCCTTGTGCATGTGCCGCCGAACGAAAAACCCCGCGCCCCACCCCTGGCTCCAGGCGGGCCCGCATCGAAGCTGAAGGATCCTCGACAGAATCGGCATCAAGGCCTCTCCATGGGCATGCCGACGAGCACTCCGCGGGAACCCGGCCGTGGCCCTCGAACCGCCCCCCCTGGAGGCCCGGAGAAGACCGGAGACCGGGCGTGCGCTGCCATGGACCCGGGACCCGTATGGGCATGGCGGCGGCGGACAATGCAGCCCGCGCGCCGCCTCTTTCGGCGGCGACGCTCGTCGACATCGCACGGGAGCGGGGCCCGTCGCTGATCCGCTCGCCTTGCTCCGTGCTTTCGCTTCCTCGAGGCCGCCCCCCAGAAAGCACGGCGAGCGCCCCCGCCCGCCCCCCGCCCGGGCTCGGAGAGGCTGGCCGTGCTGATCTGTTCGAGGCGCCGGCTCCCGTGCAAGCCGAAGCCAGGGGGCCTCCTAGCCCTCCCCCCCGCGAGAAGGACGAGGCCAGCGCCAGCACACTGCGAGCATCAGATCACCAAGTTCCTATCGGTGGATGACATTCCAATACTGCAGGCCACGATCGAGTTGCACCTCCGCAGTAGCGGCGCAGCATATCACATCAGATATTATATATATATATATATGTATATATATGTATATATATGGATTCATCTTCTTCATCTCCTGCTGCACGCTTGCCGCTCGCTTCTTTCTCACGCTTCTCTCAACGACCACCGCGTGCACTGCGATCGCAAGCCGGTGATTGCGCGGGACTGTTGCCGCAGCTACGCGGCTCTCGAGCGGGGACGGCACAACCCTGCCCAGCGTCGGTCCACAGCCCGAGACGGAACGCACACGAGCCACGAAGCCAGTTTGAGTTGGAGGTTGCGCCTGGGGGTGGACGGGAGCTGAAGTGCAGGGACAAGGGCAGTGCCCATGATTGCCTGTACATGACATCTGAACTGCGAATCAGCAGCACAAAGGTGGGGCCATCATCGTGGACCATCTGCAGAGATCACCGCAGGCTCTTTTGATCAAATCTGGTCGCTTGGTTCCTCGTTCGTCTGCGGAATGGACTTGCGAGAACTACACGGTCGCGTTGCTTTCCCCAATCTCCCAAACTCAAATGCGCGCAGTCGGCTTGCCAATCCCCCGCGCAAGTCGCAACCACTTTGGCGCAACGCGGTCGGAGACACAGGTAATGGATACGTAGTCATGCTCCCACTTGCCAGAGACTCAGCGAAAAAGCAACGGCCTGGGCTGCCAGCGGCTTCAAATCCGCATCGTTCCGATCCACGCTGCTCAACATCAAACGTGCTCTCGCGCACTGGCTGTTGCTGACGGAACACAGCGCAGGACATGAAAGCTGCGTTGTGTGGACATTGCTTACACATCGTGGAATGTTGTCGGATATGCATTCTCCCGCTTCCAAACATTGAGACAAACATTTCGCTCGAGTCATGTTCAGAGGGTGCCCCCCTTCAGTTGCGCACGCGCTGTTGCGCCAGTCATGGAGCATTCCAGCCCTTGGAGGCCTGGAAATTGGCACCAACACCAGCACAAGGGTTTGCCTCCACATGGGAAAGATGATCCTAGATTTCGGTGTTGGTGGTAAGATTTCGGTCACCTTGGAAGCCAGAATATTACCACCATCACCGAGATCGGGATCGTCTTCCCTCGGTGGAGGCACACCGCCAATCTTGGTGTTGGTGTCAACCTCTAGGCCTGCGAAGCCTGGCGTGAACGCCAATGCGCGTTGTGCAACCCAAATGAGCGCCCCCTTAGTTACACAGATTGCATGTTTTCGTCGCGGCGCACTGTTGGGTACGTCGGTAGGGCAGCGCGGGCGACGCAACAGCTTGTTGCAGCCAGGGACCACGGCGAGGTCCAAAGAGAACTTCATCAGAACAATCCGTGCTCACATGCCGCAGCACGGGAGGCCGCGAAACACGCGATGGGCAAACACAAACATTTTGACATTGTGCATCATGCGGCGCGAAGCCGAGGAGCAGGAGGAGCTACTGTTCGCGGAGAGCGCCCAGACCACCAAGAACAGTACAACGCATCTCTGGTAAGAGCAAGAAAGCAAAGAAAGAGATGGCGTACAAGAAAGATAACGACGACAATTAATACGACCGTGCGCAGAGTTTCCGGTTCACCTGGATGCCAGGGCGCTCGCTGAAGCGCAGCGCGTCGTCTTCCTCAAGCATTTCGACATCGATATCGACGGCGTCTTCGAGCCGAAGCGCGGCTGGATTCATCAAGCACGCCGTCCGCGCCTTCAAAAAGAAGATGGGCAGGGAGAAGGATCGTCAGACGAAGGGTGATCCGCGCGACGAGCTGCTCGCAGGTCTTCTGGCGAAGCAGCGCAAGGTGACGAAGGACGACTGAGGGGCAACGACAGGGGGGGGCACATCGACCTGGAATCGGCGATACATCGCGGGATAGATCGGCGATAGGCCCCCGATAGTGAATCCGCAGGTTCCCGGGCAGGCTGGGGCTATCGGGGGTCGACCGCCCAGGCGAGACCTCTGCCGCTGGCGGTGCCACCGCGGGCCCTGCGGCTGGCCAGCAGCGCCTCTGGGCGCAGGAGGACTCGGCGGGCTCGGGCCTGGCCGCCGCGAGGAAAGTGATCCACGATGAGATCAAGAGACGGATTTGCCCTGACGCCGACTCATCTGGCGGGCCGTCTGAACACGACGGCTGGGCAGTCAAGTGCGCAAGCCGCCGACTGCCCACGGGAAGATCAGCGCTGTCCAGAACGCGCACGGCCTGCCCGCCAGCCACAGCATCAGCAAGGTAGACGAAATCAAGGCACTCATCCCACATCTCGGGGGATCAGGCTGCGCATCCAACTTCCGCACGCTCTGATCGACCACGGCTGCCTGCCATGTGTGTTTGCTGGAATTCGTTTCTGAGTGTAATTCTAATTACAATGGCTTGCACCGCCATTTTGTTTTCTTCGATTGCCCGCGAAATTCTTTCTTTATTTTTGCGGCGATCCAGGGCAGACCAGCCAGAGCGTCACGACATGATGTTGCTTGCTTTCGCTGTCATTCGCCGTGGTAGCTGGTATCCTTCAGCTGGCCATCGAGCGGGCCACCAAGCTACGAGAGGCAATGAGCACCTGTCTGGCCCTGCTACTCTCGCATGGCCTGCTTCTCTTAACTGCTGTCCAACTCTTCTGGGTGAGTTCTTTAGCAGCGCCAGCACACTACAAGCATCAAATCACAAATTCCCGATCGGTGGATGACAGTTCAATGCTACAGGCGACGATCGAGCTACAATTCAGCAGTGGCAGGGCAGAACACATTACATTGCATGTTCTCTTTTCCTGTTCTTTTATCTCTTGCTGCACCACTTGCCGCTCGCTTCTTTCTCGCACTTCTCCAAATGATCACCGCGTGCAGAGCGATCGTAAGCCGGTGATTGCGCAGGACTGTTGCTGCAACTACGCGGCTCTCGACAGGGGATGGCGTAACCCTGCCTAATGCCGGTCCTCAGCCCGAGACGGAACGCATACGAGCCGCTAGGGACGAAACAGCACCTCATCCAGCACGCTTGCGTGCACCCTGTTTCCCTCATCACATCTTCAAGTCAATTTATCTTGGAGGTTGAGCCTGAGGGAGTGGATGAGAGTGCAGGGACAGGGGCAGT